ATTGATTATTTTATTTAATTAATATATTAAACGGCGATATCGATTTTACGAGTGACCGTCGTTCGGAGATTCCAACTCACGTTCCGAAACGTAATTTAATTCGATTAAGAATTAACGTATCAATAGATTCCTTGGCAGGACCTTCGAACTTTCGACTGTCGCAACCAGGGAAAACAAGATCTTGTTTGTCTTTTAAACAGTACGTGGTGTTCCAGGATCGAGTATGATTAAATTCGTGGGAATCGAAGGAACTATCGTGACGGAACTATGTAAATCTCGAGCGAACATCTCGCCTGAAGATCGATCAAGAACCCGAAGAGATATCGGGCCCGTGAGGCTCTCAGAGGAAATGAATGTCAGTTCTTAATCGAGTTTGTATCTGAAATACCGCTACTACGCGTTGAGAGTGGGATGATCGGAACAAAGCGGGTCACAATTGAAGTGAAGGATTAAAAAGGAGGATTTAACTTTGACGCTCTTTGGCGGAATGCTAACTAGATTGCTGTTAGACTAGAAAATGAATTATTTGTAATGTCAATTTAGAACATGCAATCTAAATAGAAATTCCTTTTATACATTATAAATTAAATTCACCTTTCATACATTTTGGGCATTCAATGCAGTTTTGATAGATACAAGGGTTTTATAAATGCATCAAATCTAATTATAGGCAATTGATCGCTGAGTGGATGAAAATTGTATTAATTAATCGGTTAAATTGAATACCATTTTCTAGTTTGCAACTATTTAATTAACTCCCGGATGTAATCCCGAGTAATGGCCAAAAAGGAAACAGACTTCATAAGAGATAGTACTAATATAACGTTTAATAAGGAATTATAAGCTTAAATCGTCAAGCTCGGAAGTTTTGATCGTTATAATGTAAAAGTTTGCGGTGGATACAAGCTTCCGATGAAATTGAATTTTGAATCTCCGCCACATACAATATGCTTGTCCTATTATAAAACGAAACTCGTACTACGAAGTTATAATTCGTACGCCACTACGATAGAGTCGTGTAGCGAAAGTATGAAATAATTTTTAGAATCTCTATTGTAAGGATCCTACATGCCGTTGAATATGTCGAAGATTCACTCGAATGGAATTCGGTGAGTATAGGATTTTTCTCAGAAGTACAATTGTACCTGCTACGAGATAAATCAATAATTCGTTTAATACCTCTTCTACCATGGAGAAAAGAATTTTTTTTGTCAGAGTACAAAGAATGAAGAATAAGAATTTTTATCAGGGTTGAAAAGAACGCATTTCTGAATGATTTTGACTTATCCTGTGGATATGGCATGGATACAGACATGCACAATTGTACCCAATACGAAATAAATGAATAATTCGTTTAATACTTTAGATAACATGCATAAAGGAGTTTTTTTGTCAGAGTATGAAGAATGAGGAATAAGAATTTTTATCAGGGTAAAAAGGAACGCATTTCTGAATGATTTTGAATTATGTAGGATGGGTGCAGGCACGTAATTGTACCCAATACGAAATAAATG